TGACGACCTCAAATGCATTGATTCAGTGGATGCAAGTGGCTCAGGACTAATTCTTATGGTAGTCCACAAGGAAGGCTTATATTTAGCAATTGATATTATAATGGCTGAGTTGATGATGATGATGGTAATTGTGAACAATAATTTAAGACTTTCTTTCAAAAAAGAAATACCAACTTCAATCGTAAAAAAATTGTAAGAGACCAATATAAAAGCATACTATCTTTCCAGAGAAATAAAGAACTTTCCAAATCGGCTTATAAATGATGGAGTTCTGAGGTAACAAATATGAAGAGAAATACGAACCAATTTCAAACCTTCTCGATTATAGTTCTATAGAATCACAGACTATGTTCAAGGAAAACGTAAATAAAATATAGTTTCAATTAAAAAAATAATAACTTACTATATACTGAAACGCTCGCTTGAGGATATAAATTCAATATGTAATTAATTTAATAAATTTCCTACTATCTAACATAAATTATACTTATCAATATAAGCAACTTCCTGATACCACAGGGAGACTTTGTACAAAAGTCGTTTGCTTGGGCACCTCTATCCCATTCATGTTTCTACTGTGAAGTAATCGTGTTTGGATGGCTATGTTTCGGTTTGAAGGGTGGGATATGGCAGTGAATTTACACGGTACAGAGGAATAACACCTGAGTCCTCAGGAATTGCAATGAATGGGGGGTATCATGAGCGAAACAGTATACTCTGTTATGTCCGTGGTACTGCTCATGTCTATAGGCGACTGTTACCACGTTTCATCAGGTGGGCCGTTTGCCAATCTAAGTTGCATAAAAAAAAGGTATTTCGTATTAAACAAAAATAATAACTTCGATAACCTAACTCTTCTAATCCGCAGAGACTTCAACCCGTTCATGAATCTGGATCCTAGTACTTTTTTGGAAGAACATAATATTATGCTCACTTCCAAATTTATGAGGGGTACGTGATCATGTTCCACATTCACTTGGACTTGTGAATATTATATAAAAGTCAAGGGAGGGTAAACGCTGTCTGTTTTTAACATTTCAGGGAAGCATGTGTTTTAAACTGCCATTGGCCTCGTAATCTACCGGGAATTTGAAAGGTTCGCGTTCTGCATTTATGATGTTATCGCTCTTTGAGTCTAATATATATTTCTGCGATTTCTCCAACTTTGTAACGTGTAAGAATTTTATATGATATCACCTTAGATTTTATTTGAAAAAAAATATTTGTATTTTGATGTATCTATTATAAAATGAAAGTCCTGTATATAAATTTATAATATAATTTGGTACGTAAGTTAAACTGTATATAAATATATATATATATATATATATATATATATATATATATATATATATATATATATATATATATATATATATATATATATATATATATATATATATATATATATATATAGTTAATCACTTTATTATTATTATTTTTTAATTTGACTATTATACTTATATATACTTATAATTATTTTCCTTAATGTTTTATTCTGTTAATTTTCTTACTTGTACAACAAATAGTCCATTACCCTAAGGTTGTCTTAAAAAGATTGCTCGCAGCAATAAGACCGCCTTGCTGTACTTATACAACTGTATCGTTATATTTATTATTTGTTTTATTTATTTATACCCCTCAATGATAAGGGTGACCCACCTCTAAATATTTTATTTTATTATGACTTAGCATTGAAAAATACATAGAAGATTCAAAATTTTCACGCTTTTACGATCAACCCCTGTTTTTTAATCGCGATTTTTATATGCCGCAATAGGGTTGCAAGATAGCAATCGAATATAATAATTGTAGTAGGATAAATTTTCATGTATAGTTCTCGAAATAATGTATATGGTAAAACAACGTTTGCCGAGTCAGCTAGTGTTATTATATTATTTCCCCCCTTCTATGTACACATTACCGTAGATATTGATCTAGTCAACCGTGCTCTTCGCTATATCCAGCGAACGTTTTAATATTGGCGATTGGGCGTCTTTATTTTCCCATCAGTAGACTCCTCAGCGGTAATGGCACCTATATTGATTTATTAGTAGCGCTCACCAGGAATATCGAATAAGTCATTTGTCATGCTTTTACCATTTGAGAATTGAGTCGCTGCGAACATTAATTGTATGTAGGTAGGTATTGTACAGTTCTTACGAACACAATGCTTTTAACTGTACACAAAAGGACATAGATGAGTTCATTTGAGTTATAAGAATAAATTGAAATACCTACATGCAAAAGTAAAGATTTTTATAATGTAAACTACAAATGTAACAATATTGCGGGGTAATGACAAATTTCGTATTGACTCCCCGACAATGGCAAAATAACAATAACATTGTTTGTTGTTCTTATATGTGCTTGTTTTCCATTCTAAGTTGCATAAAAAAAAAGAATGTTCAAGAAATACTTTCTTAATTTATGTTTTCTTTTAGGACTCTGTGATAATTTGTATGAAACGTGAATCAAAATTATTAAGAATACAAGGAACAATACACAGAATGGTTCTCTCGTTCTAAGAATGATAGGATGGTGAAAAAAGGTTCCCAAATAGCAACTGCAGTCAACAAGAACAAACTTTAGTTAGATGAAGTGATAACCGCAAATATTTGACTCATGTTCGTTTTTTATGGCAAAGATCGTTCTCTATAGAGGAGGCCTTTCTTTAACAGTGTCCTGCGATTACCTGAAATGACTATAAAAAACAAAACTCCTTTAATAGATATAGGTAATATGGATACCGATCCGATATCTTAATCTTGGCGTAAATTTACTGGGTACAGAGGAATAACACCTGAGTCCTTAGGAATGGCAACGCAGTACTCTGTTATGTCCATGGTATTGCTCATGTCTATAGGCGACGATTACCACCTTCCATCAGGTGGGCCGTCAGCTTGTTTGCCATTCTAAGTTGTATATATAGGTTTATATATATTGGTTTCCTCTGGACATTGATAGCAGAAAAAACTTCACCTATTTTAATATCGCCCATGTCAATCGGATATATATTTTCGAATATGTTAAAAGTATGTCATCCAATACTAGCTTTTGGAAATTAGAATTTTAACCTTTTCTCTATATATGATATATATATAGTATATTGTATATAAAATATATATATATATATATATATATATATATATATATATATATATATATATATATATATATATATATATATATATATACCCACGCCTATCCTTTACTTTCCACAACAAAATAAACATTTGTATACAATTTACAATGTTACTTGCGAATTACCACATCGCAAACATAAAAAAATAAACAGCCGTCCAACGTTTTGGCAAAACAATAGCGGTCAGTATCCACGGGCAAACAAAAATGGTTGCCCTTTATCAGATTCCCTTTGTTATTACAAATTGAATATCTACACGGTTGAAAAAGGTTTTTTTTTCTGGATATAATTAATCCAAATTAACGCGTGCAAAGGTAAACCTTATCCGGTTGTAATAAAGTTAAATATTCGTCTGTGTGATCTCTTTTATCTTCATTACGCTGGTGAGCAATTTTTAATTATCTGTTTCAGTAAAAGATATATCTAAGCGGTTTATTATATTAATTGAGGTTATATTATTTGAACAGTGCTTAGATTGTTACTTGTGTATTCTATTTTCGAAATTAGCATTCAATTCTTATAGCTCAATAATGACAACTGTTCTTCCATAACTTAATCATGTAAAACGTATTTTATTTTCAACCTTAAATTTTTCTATCTTAAGTACAATATTTTATGCAGTTGATGATGTTCTAATGATTGATTTGATTCAGAAATAGTTAAAAATATCTTAAAACATTTGTCTCAAATTATATATGAAACAATTACTTCTTTTATATCACAGTTTGGGCTGCCAGAATCACGTTGAAATAATCCTTGTAGGATTACTTCATAACTTAATTAGTCGAGGCTTTTGTACCAAATTTAATTGAAATTCTTTCAGCCGTTGCGTTATTATAAATATTGGAGGAAGAGAATTGTTAATAATTTGCAGTAAATAAATATACTTATAAATACAAAATTGCATGTTGTCATGTCGGCCTCTATAGATCCCTCAAGAAACAGTCGTGTTTAATCATGTGACTTGGCTTCATCCTTCACCTTCATCTGTTCTTCATCATAATATTCTTTCAGCGTAAACTCATTGGTTTTGGCTCAGGCAGAGTTGTTATTCCATTTCAATTTTATAAATCTTTGCAAACTTTCAAAATCTTACTCAAAAATATTATTTCGATATTAAAACTACAAAAATGTTAGTTCTTACGTAGTTTTGTTGAATTTTACAATATCAAAATTATTGATTTAGTCTAGATATACATACATCCTAAAACTGTAATTAGGCCAATTGGCATAGCACAAGTTGGCAACGCTAGCAAATACGTAGATAGTAAATTTTCATTGTTACTTCGCAGTTTCTAGTGGAACACAATTAGTTTTTGTATGTAACGCAATTGGAGTATAACTTCTCAAGACATTATTAATATTATAACGGTTTACTTTTCGGTTCGGTTACAGTTCAAAACAATTAAAACGATATTTTAAGGCTCTTCTTGTTAATATTCATCAGAATTATTGTTTTCCATTGTATAAAAATTGTGATTCAGTTCAGTTGTCCAATGTTTATGTAAAATGTAAATTGTAATTTTGGTAAACATTTTGAAATATATGAAAGAGTTATCAATATAAAATCATCATTCCGTTTCATTTACAACTGTATCATCATTAACAACTTCCTACTGTTCCTTTTTTTGTTTAATTTCAAAAGATATTTTACTTTTTTGAGCCACTTAAATGATAAAATTGTAAATGGCAATAAATATGTACTAATTTAATAAGTCACCGATTGCTACAAAGCAGGCCTGCGAGCTTAGTGAAGTAATCACTTATAAATATATTGTGTACCCGCTATTTTGTCTTAATACAGTTGTTATTATTATTATTACATTATTATTAACAGCTCTTTCTTTTGTTACAGATATCGCTATGGCTGTGCTACTAAAAGTGCCAATGCAGAATTTATAAGTGTATAAAATGATGTAGTAATTTCACACATGAAATCTACTTCAAATATATCTGATGCTGAATAGAGCGATGGGGCCACAAAGGTGATATTCGCAGAAATGGCTACGGATAGATTGCCACTACATCTTTGCAATTCTATAAAGCAGTACTTAATAGTGAGAGAAAATTTAAAAATTAAACTAGTTCTAATAAGAAATGAAACAGCAAACTGGAGAAAGAAGCTCAATTTGAAATTAAATGTACAAGAGCGGGTCAAATTAATTTTATTATTAGTATTGCTATTGACACAGAATTCTAATGGTACTAGTTTCAGTGGTAGTAGAAATTCTATGTTAAGGACAAGAATAATTGGTACTAGGTATGGTAAATTACAAGGAGTTATATTGCCTATGGATCAACATAAGTATTTGAAGCCTGTCGAAGCTTATCTTGGTGTTCCTTACGCGACTCCGCCAACTGGATCAAACAGGTACGTTGAATTTTCGAGATTTCTATTTAACGCTTGATTTGAGGTACGTCTGTTGGAGTAGAAACATCAAGAGAGAAATTGAGTGGAGTTATTTTTTTTTGCGAGATATAATCTAGTTGATACGTGGACTTAGCTTGGATTGAAAAACGTATTGCGCCCTTTATGATTTCCTGTAATTGGATTGTGATGATACAGTCGAAAAATCTGTAGATATATTCTATTGAACTTGTATTGATTTATTTTATTTGCTATCGTATAGTTTCAAGTATATATTATTTTTGTCGCAATAAAATTAAAATCACTGACATATATTTTATTTTAATTAGTGAAATATAATTCTCTGTATGCTATTTCAAATAAAGCTTGTTATTCTAGAATAACAAGAAAAAAGTAGCCTGAAAATTTTTATCTAAACATACTATCAAACAAAGTTTTAATTAAAGCTTGTATTACAAGAAAGAAAGGAAGTAGAAAAGAAAAGCAATGTCCATTACGATACAGTGGCTCAGTATGTGTATAAATAAATAAAAATCCAGGTTCCATCTTTAGTCATCGATCCAAATTGGGAAGTTGACGAGGGTCTGCACGCTCCCAGATTGTCACCCAGTTCATGGCATATGTCATTGTAGTTTATCGTTTCTCTAGGAAGTCTCAGAATTGTTTAGATTTATCAGTCTATCTTTAGATCTACTTACAAGATAAATAGAGTGGTTCTAGTACTAAAAGACCTCACATCAGCACAAGTTTTTGAAAGTTTTCAAATAGAAGGTTTTCAATTCCTTTGTATGATATTGATATATTATACAATGCTTTGTTTGAAATTAATTTGATAATTATTTTTGCAAACAATAAGGTTTACTTTCGCATATTGTAACGATGAAAGTCGCTGGAATAAAACCTTACAACCAAAAAACTTTACTCTGCCCTACCTAGACTAAAGTTTATATACTAATCATGACGAGAAATATACGTTAACTTGCAGTTTATAACTTATAAGTAAAAGAAGAAATTGACTGATTTATCAATGTATGGTTAAAGCTTTTCGGTCTAGAAACAAAATTGGAACAAAAGTACTGAAGAGGAATTTTTGTGAATTCTCACAGAAACGCGATTTTTTTCCACATCTCTTTACAAGTAAATTATAATTGATTGCCAATCTGACTGTATGTTTTTGTGTGTACATATTATTCTACGTCTTTTTAATTTATTTATTATCTTTGATATTTTAAACTAAGTTTATTTCCTTATTGATTTCATGTTAATTTAATTTAAAGTCAATTTCTTTCTTGAGTCAAAACCTTAAATCTATGAATACTAATACAATATTGTATTGTGTATGTTAATTTATAAATATAAATTCCAATAAGCATTCGTAATAAGTTTACCTACGAAACCTTTCCATAAAATATGAATAACAATAAAATTTCCTTTTCTTTGTTTAGGTTTGCACCAACCCGAGCACCGGCCCCTTGGGACGATGTGAAGACAGTAGACCAAATGGGTCCAGTCTGCCCTCAGAGATTACCAGATATATCAAACGAGACCCAAGCTCTGGAGAGGATGCCGAAGGGTCGGCTAGAGTATCTGCGGAGATTGTTACCTCGACTAAAAAACCAGAGTGAAGATTGTCTCTATATGAATATTTACACACCAGTACAAGGTCAGTTTGTCCTCACTCCTTACTGATATTATAAATGTAAAATAAAAGCTTGACCGATGGTCTTGTAATTTTTCATGTGGGCTACCGCTTCCTTTCCCGTGGGTATCGTAAGAAGCAACAAAGGGAACTTAGTGGTCAAGGGATGGGCAGCAGCGCCTCTCTTAAAATATCAAAAAAAGTCTAACTGTAGTTGTCAATCCGTCTGCTAAATGTGACAACTATTGATGAAACCCCTCTTTTAGAGGAGGTTTATGTTCAGCAGTGGACAAATAATGGCTGATATGATGACGATGGTCACAGTAGCAATAAATATAATGTACCAGCATTTTTGTATGTAGTAATATATGTATATATATAATATGTCGATAATAATTTAGGACTTTGTTTCATAAAAGAACCAACTTCAATGTTGTCAAAACCAGTTAATTAAATTTAAAAACTGAACTACGTATACATATGTCGGTATATACTTTCAGATAAAAAAAAAAGAATTTTTCTAATCAGCTCACAACCGACGTAGTTATGAAGTAACAAATATAAAAAAATATACAACTAAATTGCGAACCTCCTTTTTTGATTCGGTTAAAAACAACACACCAGAAGATGATATAGAAAATGCAAATGGCAAAATAATATTCAATATCCAGCCAAACTCGTATGGTAATATTTGTCTAATACCAGAGGGAGACCTTGTGCAAAAGTCGTTTGCTTGGGCAACTCTGTCCTATTCGTGTATCTACCGTGAAGCAGTTGTGTTTGCATGGCTGTGTTTCAGTTTGAGGGGTGGGATATGGCGTGAATTCACAGGGTAAAGAGGAATAACATCTGAGTCCTCAGGAATGGCAACGCATGGGGGCTATCATGAGCGAAACAGTATACTCTGTTATGTCCATGGTACTGCTCAAGTCTGTAGGCGACGGTTACCACTTTCCATCAGGTGGGTCGTCAGTTTGTTTGCCATTCTAAGTTGTATAAAAAAAAGAAAAAAAAACCATTCTCTTACTGTAATAATTTTTGTATTCTTTAGTATTTTCTGTTTATCAGAGTTTTTATAATCAATTGTAATTTTTTTTATAGACTTTACATCATTATAACCAACACAGATACTTTTTTGAATATTTTCATATAAACCAAAAGCTGTAAGGTTTGTGTATAAATATACAACGTTTTTAAATATTTTAATAAAAAAAACTGAAAATACATTTCCATTCGTACAATATAAATACAACAGTTTTTGTTTTTCAATAGTAGAGCAATGATAAAAAAATTGAAATATTGTACATAAAATCCCGTGCTATTGGAATCAGTTTCAACAATTCGTATTCCAGCCGTCTTAATTGGAACAAATGATTGCGGCACATTGTTTTAGTTCGGAGTTTATCCGAGAAACTGAATACATGAAATAACGAGCAATTATTCGAGTTGCCAAACAGGACAACATAGTTAGCAGGGAATACTTTGTGCAAACGAATATTGTATTGGATAAACAATAGATTACGGGTCAGTGAGTGGTGCTTACAATAGAGTTGCATCACTATTGATGAAAACTACATCAAAATTTAAAAAGTTTTAGCGACACTGGACAATTTTTCTCAGTTCTATTCCAATTCATGTATCTGCAACTATTTTTGAGAAGTTAGTATAGTATAATTCTTCTTGAAATGTGTTGCTGAAGAAGGATGTAGAAAATTATGTGGAAAGATCCAATTAGTAATTAGGAGGTTCTACTTAGAATTAAGGAAAAGAGACAAATTATAAAAACTAAGAGAAGGAGAAACTTGTTTGTGTGTTGGCACTTGATAATGACACGACGAATTTATGAACATTATAATAGCAGGTTGAATAGAAGAAATGAGGGGAAGAGGGAGACCATGACATAGTTACCATCAGGTAGATCAAGGAAAAAGTTGGTGTCATGTCGTAGCAAGAGGTAAAGAGACTAGCTGAAAATCCTAGTGAGTGGCAAAAGTTTCACTGACAAGAGCGCAGATCTTAAATATAAAATAAAAATACTGTTTACCTCATTAATAAGATTGAATTACAAATAGACTCTGATTTGCAAAAAGAAACAGAAATTTCATTGAAAAGTTTAGTTAAGTAATTTCTTCTACGTGTATCTTTGTTTTGGATACTACCACGCAGTGAAACTTTAATAAGCAAAAGGTCGAGGCGCGCAGTCAGGCTCGCGTGCGTGTAACAGTCGCTCATGATTAAGTATCTCGAATTGATTTTAAATCTAATCGAGCTTTTTAGATCTAGTTACATGTAAATTAAACCGACAGTTATTACATTCAATAATAAAAGTCTGTCAAAAATTTATTAAAAATTAATTTTACATATATGTCAAGCCTGTCTTCTAAGGATGTCTCTAGAATACATGATAGAATGCAATCTAATAATAAGATCGTTGATTATTACAATTTTGAACTCTTACCATTATCAAGAAGTTAATTTGGTCAATGAACATCTATGTAATGTGACAATAACTGTCGCACTTTCTCAAATTATTAGATACTTAATTTTGCTTTCATCCAAGCTTTTCATATAACTTGACCAGCATCTCCCTTTTTGTTTCAATCTTTATCATTACATCAGCTTTTATTATATACTTTTCTGTAATTATCCTATTTCTTATTATTTTTTAATGTTACTTAATAATTAATCTAGATTTAATATTTATTATATCCACCAGAGGGAGACTTTGTACAAAAGTCGATTGCTTGGGTACCTCTGTCAGATTCGTGTTTCAACCGTGAAGCAGTTGTGTTTGCATGGCTGTGTTTCGGTTTGAAGGGTAGACATGGCGTGAATTTACTGGGTACAGAGGAATAACACCTGAGTCCTCAGGAATGGCAACGCATGGGGGGTATCATGGGCGAAACAGTATTCTCTGTTATGTCCATGGTACTACTCATGTCTATAGGCGACGGTTACCACTTTCCATCAGGTGGGCCGTCAGCTAGTTTGCTATTCAAAATTGTATAAAAAAAAATATATTATTACCGTTCATGACCATAAATACATCCAGACACACATCAAGGCGAATACTGCTTTATACAATTGTTGTATGTCATAACTGAGTACAAAGTACATTATATTTCGCATTATCTTCCTCATTGTCATTATTTATGACTATACTTTATACAAAAAATCTTCTGAATAGTGGAACATTTTCTCGCTAAATAAACATTACGACTCCGCCACACTAAGTTTTAATATTCCGTGTCAATAGTGTTCTTACAAGAAAATAATGAAATGTGCCACCGCACACTGCTGATGGAAATCTTTGATTCTGGCTTTCTTGAATGGTGAAAATTTTAATCATAGGTTTACAAAAGACTCTTTGCCATATAGTTGGTCCCCTTTTCTTTGTTCAACTGACAATAGCCACGTGTCTGTACAGGAGTTCTTTAATGACAAACTGGGTTGTCTCTTTTTGTAACAGATACCTTTGTGTTGGAAGTAATACGGAACATATAGATGAGATTCTATTCCGTTAATACAACTTAATGTTGAAAAGGTTAGCAGCACAAATGGATCTGCAGAATAAAAGGACGGATTGGATGATGTTTAATCATGAACATCTTGTTGCGATCTATAGATTGTATGATATTTAAACTTTACTTCGATGTTAACTAAATGCCAGGATTAAATTACTCAAAAGCCCTGATTAAGGGGTTTTCAGAAAATTATTCTAAAAAATTAATTCTTTTGAGTAAAAATGTGTGTATTAACAAGGGCCGTCACTGGACACTGCAAACTTAACTAGCATATGATCCAACCAGGATTATACCCAAAAATTGTATGTACATTTTATCACAATGAGAAAAAAACGCCGGAGCATTTAATTTGTGGCTGTAGCTCACTTATTCATTAACGACAATATCTCCTTTGGAAAACACTATATATCTTGAGGGGATAAAAAATATCTTAAAATTCCTATCGTTAGTAGGAAGTAGCAGCAAACTTTAAAAAAGGGCGAACACAAAAGATCACGGAAAGGTCGTAGTGTCACAGATTTTTCTGTCTGGAAAAGCCCGTCTCTCAATAATAATAGATATCAATTAATAACAAAAAAATATTTTTTAGAAATTTTGTCTGTCTATATGTTTGTTTCGGTATCACGCAAAAACTACTGTACCAAACTTAATGAGGTTTTCTCGCTTGTATTTCTGAAGGTCTTACTTAAAATTGGTATATGTTTTATTTTAATACGTTATATGCAAGAAGTCTATTTCATGGGGTTTCCTACTTCTGATAACCGTACGTATGAAGTAGCTAGTAGTAAAAAGATAGTTTCAATAGTATATATTTAAAAAATAATATATAGCCATGTGGTTCAGGCATATAAAAGGCCATTATTTCCTTTCCCGTAGGTGTCGTAAAAGGCCGTTAAAGAAACCTAATAGTAGAGTGATGGGCAGCAGCATTCCTCTTAAAATCATCGAAGCCTAACTGCGCTTCCTAATCTGCTTGCCAAGCATGGCAACTATTGGCAACAACTCTCCAAAGGAGAAGTCTATGTACATCAGTGGACAGTTAACGCCTGATATCATCGTCATCATAAGAAATACGATGCTCTTCTCTTTCTCTTAGAATAATATTATAAGCATAAAATTGACTTGATCTACAAATTTATGACCAGATAATGTTTTTTTTTTGTATGCTGTATTTATTTTTATATCGACTTATAAATATTAGAGAGGTAAATATAATGACATATATATTAGACCTATATGATAACATAAAGATAAATTCCATTCTTTTTGCAATAGTTCTTTGTCTTTTCCTCAATGTCCTCTACCCAAAGGTTGTCTGGAAGAGATTGTTTACCAATCAGGCCGCCTTTTGTATCACTCTTTATTGACATTAACTGTATTTATTTATTTTTCTTAATGCAATAAAGTGTAAAATAAATAGATAAATAAATATATTCTAAAATAAAACTTCTTTTTTTGTATAATTCTTTATTGTAGATATTTGTTTGTCGTTTTCCTTCT